ACACATATCTACTCACACACATCTATGAAGGGGACACGAGGAAGGCCCCCAATGAGATGAACTCACACAGTAGCTGCAACCATGAAGTTAAACCTAGGAACTATTGTGAGCATGCTGCGGCTGAGCAGTGCTTTGCGCTGTTGTGCGTAAGGTCGCTATGGGTCAGAACCTTGATCTCACCCAACAGCAGCACACACCTCTTTACAGTCACATATATACCTGGATATATGTGCACATGCTTTTTATTAAAAAGTAGGCAAAGTGGGATCATACCGAGCACGCTGTTCTGCACTTATTTTGCTTAAAAATGTACCGTGGCGATCTTTCCACACCCACATTGACTACTCGCATTCTTGTTAGGGCCACAGGGCATTCCATCGTGTGGATGGTTGGTCATCAATCCTCTGCTGACAGACAGGGAGCCCTGGTGGTATTGTACGTTCTTCATTGAGTTGCTAACCACAGATCAGCAGTTCAAACCCATCAGCTGCTCCACAGTAGAAAGATGAGGCTGTCTGGGCCTGTAAAGGTTGACAGGCTCAGAGGCCCACAGGGGCAGCTCCACTTTGCCCTATGGGGCTGCTAGGAGTCAGAATCCACTGGCTGCAAGTGAGTTTGATTTTGGTTTTCTACTGATGGACACTGGGTCATTTCAGTACTTTATTTAAAATCATTCTGCAGGGAGCGTCCTTGTAACAAGCACCTGTGTGTGTTTAATGAAGCCTGTCTCTCAAGTAGTTGTCTCAAAATGGAATGTGTGGGTCAGCATTTAACATTTTAACACTATCAAAAAATCAGGTCCATTTACATGCATACCCTGTCAATACGGAATATATATATATATAATTTTTTTTGCAAATCTGATGGGTCCAAAATACGCTTGGTTGTTTTGGTTTGTGCTTCTTGTCTTGTGAGCCTGAGCGCCTTTTCTTTGACTCATGGATTATTTGGACTTGGCTTTGGGTGAATTACCTACCCCCTTTGTAGTATTAAATTAAAATGGCGAGGGGGGGCTG